GAGGCTGGTTCTGTCTCCGTCTTCAGGTGAGAGGTACCTACTCTGTTGGGTCCCTGTCCAGCTCTATCTAAGGACGGAAACAGAACCAGCCTCCGAAACGTCGTGATTTTAAAATAACAGACGATGGAAAACGTCCTGACAATGAATAATTTTAAGTGTAAACTACCGTCCTCAAAACCCTTTAGAATTGAGATATTACTTATGTTCGTTGTTTGTTTCTTTGTTTGGTTGTTTAATAGTGCTGTATCTACTGCTGTTGTGTAGCGCGCAGCTAGAAATGTACGAATAATTTTGTACGGCACAAAGTTGGGATAAATCAGCTATTTATATTATTTATTTATTATTATTTAGTGTTCTGTCTGACGACAGGTCCATATGAACAGGATCCTTCCATCCTTTTCTCGGACTGGGACTGGGACCTGTTCATATACGTTCTTGCCAGATGATCCAGAAGTGGTTTGCCATTGCCTTCTTCTGTGTGTGAATGGAGTAATTGTTGGGATGCCACGGAGGAAAACTCCGTGTTGCCTAGACCACGGCCTTGCCCAACACAAGTTATAAATTCGGGCACCGCCGGGAATCGAACCCGAGACCCCCAGTTATTATCCAATCATTTGTCTTTGCTGGATTGAGGAAAGCTATGAAGAATTCAGTACAATGAGTCTCTCTCCATTTATAATTACAGCCACGTACCTCCTTATTGCATACGCCATTTAGGATAATGTGTTAATTGTTTCAACAAGCTATTAAATCCTTCTGAATTCTTAATGTTCTCTTGTAGGAATGTTTACGAGAGGAAAATAATGTTGTTTTATGATTTGCGGGTGGTTTTATATGAGAACTGTCTCGTACTTACCTTGTATAAAGGAAGACAGATGACATCTATGAACCCAACTTGCATTTGTGGTAATTCGTCCTTTCTTTCCCGATCCATCATAGCCTGAAAGTACGAACATTAAAAGTAGGAAACTCCACGATAAAGAATCTTCTATTAGCAGCTGATACTTACGGAACTCATCAAGACATTTCCTTCCCTTAGGAATCTTGAAGGTTTACCTTTGGAATCGCGAAAGTGAGCCATCAGACCTCATGCTGTGCTAACCCATACCAGTTCACATCTTTACACCAGTTTCTCTGTGATTTGTTTTAATATTATCTTTCTGTCTATGCTCGGGTCTGCCAGGTTGTTTCTTCCTTAAATGCTTCCTATCACATCCTCCTTGATTTAATCGCCATAACAAACTCAGACGAGTACAAAATTTTCAAGGTCATTTTATATAACTGTTCCCAGTTCCTCTTCGTTAGGTTCAAATTCTTTATTTTAGAATTTTTGTTGTTATAGGAAGTATGAATACCAATCAGAGCCATAATCATGACTTAACATTGCTGTCTATCCTAAAGCTACAGTACGTATAGATTTATTAAACTTAAAAGATACAAAATATATCTGCGTAAAATCAGAATACTGGTATATGAATACTACTTAAAATATTATTTTGTTTTTTGGAAGATTCCACCACATACATCTCTTGTTCTCCGTCAGCAAATGGTTTTTGTAGCCTGTCGCTCTGCAGATATCCCAGTGGCGACTCATAAACCTTAGAAAATGAGGGGAAATTAAAGTAGACGTCTCAAATGTGCACTAGGAAGAAAATTAAGAAAAGAAGTTTATGAAACCAATGGAACAAATGAATTTGAATAATCTTTTCCACAAGTTGGCACGTTATTTTCTCGAAACAGTTCACCTATTTCTTAGGGGTTCACCTACTGCAGCCAGCTAACCGCTCTCATAGGCCCTGGTCTTCCCCGGTAGTTGATGAATGAATTTGGTTCTTACCACTGGTTGTTGGTTGAGCTGTAGTTTCTCCAAGTCTCCTTGGTCGAAGAATTCATCAGCCACTAGCTTAGCTACTTTGTGTTGCACCTCCCAAGGTTTTGCGATGGCACTGACATCACAAGCTGTCATCATCATGCCACACAACACTGCAACGATAGGAGAGCTTATTTGAATGTGAGTTTACGGTAAGTGATATTCTCGGATTGTAAAATGAGTACACACAATCTAATAATAAACGAAAGCTTCGATGACTTACATTCCTTCTTCCCTTCGCTCTGCCAGTCAAATTCTCCCTCATCCACTAATGTCATAAAACTGTCCTTCTTCTTGAAATACATCGCTAAGTCTGTTGAAATTATAGCATTTTCCACAGTCTTCATCACATGCCTGTAGTCTTCTGTTGAGAGAGACTGCAACAAGAAATAAGTTAAGTTGGTTAGGTTAGGTTAGGTTATGTTTAATTAGGTTTGGTTGGGTTAGGTTAGGTTTGGTTTAGTTAGGTTAGGTTAGGTTTGGTTGGATTAGGTTAGGTTACGTTTGGTTGGGTTAGGTTAGGTTAGGTTAGGTTAGGTTTGGTTGGGTTAGGTTAGGTTCGGTTAGGTTAGGTTTGGTTGGGTTAGGTGTACATCTCAAAGCAGTACCTCATATATTTTTATTGCGATATTTTCAGGTTGTTGCACAACGTTAGAAAAACTTACAGAGAAAATTCATACCTAAGAAAGATGAGGTAACAACGAAATGGAGAATATTATATGATTAGGGGCTTCTTAATTTCACCAGATATTACTAGGGTGAGTATAATGTGGGTGGGACATGTAGAATGCATGTGGAGATAAATAGACACACTGAACACAAAGCAGGGATTTGAACCACTCGACAGTGACTTTCGGGTTCACAGCTTATCCTATCATGTGATTGTAATGTGGACAGTTAAAAATTGGTCTTAAAGACATTAATAATCAGCGGATAATAGTCGGAATTCGCTGTCTGAAAGTACGGCTCACAGTTTTAAACAGAACATCATATTTCAGTGTTTAGCCTCTCCTGTTTCCTGCTGGGACATCGCTTTAAATAGACCACGACAGATTCCTTCCACATCCTTCCCAACTTATAGTTCATCACCACCATTGCACTGCTATCGTTTGGATAACTAAATCCATGGAGCACATTTATTCTATAGAAGCTGATGGTTACTCATCAGGATGTTACCCCACCTTTTTATGGAACCAGAAGAATCATTATCGCCTTCACGAGATTCTCGTGTTTGACCCCAGAGCCAGAAATTACACATTACCGTCGTATGTGCTTAGAAATAAATGTTATTGAAAATTACACAAATTAGTTTAGAGTTACGTATTATTTTAAATTTTCTCCTGTAACTGTTTGCTATTTTTGCATGGAAAATTATAGTTTACGGTACGATTTTAAAAGCCAATACGCGTGGATATCATACGCAATGCAGAAGGCAAAATAATCCTTTGGAGTAACAAATTAAATAATTTCTCAGCCTCGTCACAAGTGGCCCGCGAGCCGTCAGCTTGACCTCGCCGTTATAAAGAATCGAATTAAAATGTAGATGTCTAAATTAATTTGAAAGTGAGGAGGATGCAGGAAGTTGCCAACTCGATATCTTCCATGGGTCGTCACACGTTCATCTAACTTTTTTTTTTCCAGCAGCTCAGTCGCACGCCAGCATATTGATTCATGTGCACCTCACCAGGTAAACAGCTCCATGCGAATGTACTCTCCGCGAATTTATCACCAGTATAAGTCCGCACCTGTAATGCGATTAAACTGACGTTCGTGTCAAATTTTATCAATAAATCTGATTCGTGAGAAATAAGCTGATTATTTTTTGTTTCCTATACTTTTAAGACTTAAAATACGTCAATTTACCCCAGTACCGGCGAAAAAACCCTTACCTCGTGGACCATTATTTAAATTCAATAGTGACGGTCGCTGTACGCTTGTATACTACTAGGAAGGTACTGTGTTCGAACCTATTCCAGGGTATCGGTTATCCCTTATGAGAGTTTATGTGGATTTGAGATCCTAGTTACAGTTAATCGATTATCGTCATGAAATCGACAGTTAAATATAGTCGACATTTAATGCTGACGTCATGTTTTATATTATACGAAAACTTGCTTTTGCAAGAAAGTTGTTGAACTGTTATCAAATCATTTTTCAGGACAGTGTAGTGATGATCCCACTTCGTAAGTTCGCTGGGTTGATAATTGATATTTACAGGATGTGACAATGAAAATGCCGCGGGTTCTGTGACGTGATTTACCTGGAATATATTATTTCCCTCGCTGTTCAAAATCATTACGCACTGGTCGAAGTGGTGATGCTCCATCGTGCTGGTGGAGTACAGAATGGCGAGCGGTGACTCAGTTTTCGTCTGAAAGGCGTTGTTGGTCCCCCGGTGGTCCAGATCGTGACACAAACATGCCACGAGGAGGCCTAGAATCTGTAAGGTCCATAACATAATTTACAACGACTTACCACAACAATTAAACATGATAATTTTCCGAGGTAGTATATTTGCGTCATATTGTGAATTAGGTTAATATTTTAATATTTTCCGTCAAATCACAATTTTTAATAAGATAATAAAATATAAAATATTTGAAATATCATTTCACGTTCCGCATCGAATGATCGATTTACAAATTAGAACGTCTCTTACGACATGTTTCGGTTATATTTAACCGTCCTCAGGTATAAATTAGATTGGTAAAATTTAAAACTCGAATTACAATCCTTTACAATGTTATGCAGTTTATTGAAATGTTCTTA